CTCCCCGTCGTTTCATGTCATGATACAACTTCTTTTTTCTTTGTACTACTTCAGTGTTCTTCTTTGCTTCGTTAATTAATTTTTCTATATCTCCCATTTGAAATTCAGGGGCCTTTTTTTGAACATAAAATAATCTATCTAATGGCGTTATAATCTTTCTGCCTAAAAATAACTCAGCAGGAGTTTTGCCCATCGTGTCATGTTTGGCGGTCCTAAGGGCAAAAGCTAATTCATTGACATAGTTATCCCAGCTTTTATGAAAAATTTTTAACATAACTACGAATAATTTTCACTATATTTCTATTGACCCGTTCCGCTATATTTGATTGCGGCCGATACGGGACCATTTTTAAATGACGTATGCCCAGTTTTTGGCACATGTCTTCAAATATGTTACTTACAAACTGGGGACCATTATCCGATATAACTTTTAGGGGCGCCCCGTATTTTAAAATATATTTATTTAAAATAGAATCAGTAACTAATTTCGCAGAGGCTCGTTTTAAGGGAACAATTTCGGTCCACTTACTAAAATGGTCAACCATAACAAACTAGGAGATACTGACTTTTATTTAACTGACTTTTCGGGAAAGGGCCCAATAAATCGATGCTAATTATTTCATTTGGAAACTCTGATATAATGCTGTTTAGAAACCCGGCCTGGTGGAAATTAATGTAATTAACTGCTTGACATGTTGGGCAGGACTGGACATACGCCCTTGTTAACTTTTGCAGCTCAGGAAAATAAACTGCTTCGCGTATGCGTTGGATGGGCTTTCGAATACCACCATGAGATGCCAAAGGCGAATCATGCAATTCCTGCAGTATATTTAATCTAAGACTACCTGGAATAACAGGTCGAAATTCGTTGTTGGAATTTGTAATTTTTGTATAAAATAATAGACCATCTATTGATTCGTAATGGGCCGCCCTATTTCTTATCGCCACAATATCTTGGTGACTAAAATTTTCAGGATCTTTTAAATTCCGGATACTTACCCAGTTCGGTTATTACAGTTTCTTGGGAATGTATTGTATATGCTGTGAGCATTGCCACCTTTACAGTATTACCTTCTTCATTTATTTTTATTCTGGATAGGGTATCTGCTACGATTATTTTCCTTTCCGGGGATGTGTTTAATTACCAAATTGTACTCCTGTAACTTGAGTGCCCATCTTATTAACCTTGGGGATAAGTTTCCCTGAGTATAATCTAGTTACCACCGCATGATCAGAATACACTGTTACTGGCGCCCTTCCAAAATAGACTCGGAACTTCTGCACTGGCTAACAGAACTGCAAGTGCCTCTCTTTCAGTCGCGGAATAATTTCTTTGAGTTTCATTTAAAGTTCTACTAAAAATTGCCACAGGCTGCTGATTTTGGGAAAGTACTGCTCCTACAGCATAATCCGAAGCGTCCGCCGAAATTTCTAAATTCTCGTCGTTCTCAGGAAACTTCAAAACAGGGGCTTGTGTTAATGCTTGCTTTAACTTTTCAAAAGCACTATTGGCTTCGGCCATCCACGAGAATCTTGCCTTTTTCCTTTTTAATTTTAACAATGGTTCAGCAATAGTTGCAAAGTTTTTTATAAAGTACCTATAATATGAACAAAGTCCTAGAAAAGAAGACAGCTTCTTCACTGTATTTGGCAGCGGATACTTTTGAATGGCGATTATTTTTAATTTGTCCGTCTCGATTCCTTTCTGAGATATTTTATATCCCAATATTTTAATTTGGTGGCTGCAAATTTACACTTTTAAACATTAACTTTTAGACTGGCTTCATTTAATAATGAAAACACCTCTCCCAAATCTTTTTTATGTTGATCCAAATTATCACTAGTAATAATGATATCGTCTAAATATATAAAGGTGTTCTTTCCTAGAACAGGTCTTAACACAATGTCCATACATCGCTGAAATGTTGCCAGTGCCCCTGAGAGGCCAAACAGCATACGCAAGAATGCATAACTGCCAGACTTAGTTATAAAAGCAGTCTTAGGCACATCTTCTGGTTTTACACCTATTTGAAAATAGCCTGTTATTAAATCTAAAGTAGTCATGTATTTCATAGAAGTTATGTTCCTTAAAATTTCTTCAATAATAGGTATTGGATATACCGGATATTTAGTAATGTTGTTCAACTTACAATAGTCAATTGCGAAATGCCACCGTTTTGGATGTGTAACTGGATAATCATTATTTTTCTTACATAACACAACCAGGCTGGCATAACTACTTGAGATGGGTGTTATGATCTTTTTACTTAACATATCTCGAATGTGCCACTCTATAATTTTTTCTTTAGTCTTATCATAACGATATGGCTTGTGGGAAACTGGCAGTGAATCTCCTGTATCGATTTCATGGTTTATAACCTGAGTAAATCCGGGAATATCACTAAATAAAGAAGAAAATTCACTTACCACTTGGCGAATTTTTTCTTGCTCTCCCGTAGGCAGGTGGTGGAGATTTAATGTGGGCGGTTCTGTTTTTACTTCCAGCACTGGTTTCATGGTCAGCTTAAGGGACACTTGGTTAAAATCAAGCGTTGCTTCGGCCTCTGAAAGAAAATCTATCCCTAAAATTATATGTGCTTGCAGATTTCTTACGATAAAAAACATAAGTTTTACCTGCTCGTCCTTAATACGGATGTAGAGTGGTACTTTACCTATGCATTTGCATCGTTACCCCTGGGCAGCTAACACTGTCGTATTATCAGAATTATATATTCTATATTTACGGAAGTATTTCTAAAAAAATCTTCTGCCACGCAGGAGCACTGTGCGCCTGTATTCAGTAGTGCGGTGGCTGGAATGTTGTTCACTAATACTTCAATCTTTGGAAGAATCAAATTTTTCACAATGACTGTATTGAGCTTGAAGGAAGAGGGATTTTCTTGGCCTTCAACTTCCGCACCCTCCCGTCAGCAGAAATCTGTTTTCGTTTAAATCTTCTTTCTTCTTTTCCAGGCCTTCCTTCTTTTTCCGCTGTCCCTCAAACTTTTTTCTGGCTTATTATTGAACTGTCGACGTTCGCCAGTTGTTTTTGGATACTCGGGTTTCTTTGACCACTGATTCGACTTGCTTCCGTAGCTGTGGTCTTGACGAACCAAATTGGCTTCGTTGCTAATGTTGGCGTCTTCTTTCAATGTCCACCGTTCTTCTACTTTCAAACTGGATTGCGAGCTCAAATAACTTTTCCAATGTCAGCCATAGTTATTCGTCTTCAGACGCCACTGGCAGGAGATGTACGTCTCTTCACTTGCTTCGGGAACATACTGTATCCTGAATAAGAACAGGGAACTTACTAAAGCTCTGTTCCAGATTGTGTGGAATAGATGACACAAGCAGGAAGGGTTTACTAAACCCTTTATTCTCTATTACTTTACAGGTACTCCCGTAGTTCGGGATACAGAGACCAAGCACTTGTGGTGTGAACGTAAAAATATAAAAACTATTAACTGAAACTGTAACTAAAAGCTAATTTTTAATTTTTTTAGTTTTGAATTTTGAATTTTGAATTAGTATACAAATGCCTAGCACTAAGACTGGCCTTTTTTTAAAAGGGTACGTATGTAGTACGCTGAGCTGCTGAAACCACAATACGTTTTCAAATATCAAGAGGGCTAAACCTCTGGCCTTAAAGGCAAACAGCAACCGAGTGAAAACTTGTAAGACTGCAGTGACAAGCGGCTCGCTTCCTAAATCTCCTTCTCTAACTCTTGGCAAAAAGCCACAACTTAAATACTTGGGCGTTAGCTAGACAATTTGCATAAACAAGTTAAAGCATTTAATTCTGGCTGGAAGTAGAAAATAAGAAGTGATAGTATAGTTTAAAAATAAAATAAATGTTAGTAAAACTAAGGATCCTTATAAAGCTATTATAAATTTATTTTATTTATGCCACAAATGGTATAAAATAATACTTACTGCAAAGTTTTGTTAAGAAATCTAGGTAAGAAAATTTTTTAATGATTAAATTAGCACTGTATTCAGTAATTCACTTATATAATATTGAAGGTAAATGAAAGATCTCATTCATTTGGTAATGACAGTTGTTGACAATGAATGTAATTTTATTGAAATTAAAAACACTAACACTTGATTCAAATCTTTAGAAAGCTTCGTGGATGCTTTAAAGTTTGTAGTGCAGCTGAACCCAAATATGAGCTCTCAGAAAGTTGCAAAACCATCTACGGATGTCATATGTCAAGCATTACACAGGGTTAACAGAATGAAAGAAATATGAGAGAGGTTCCTATTGATCTTGCCACACAATAGATAGAGCATAAGCTGAGCTATACAAACTCTCTCTGAAAACTCTTTGGAGCTTTCAAACATATAACGCTCTATGATGGGTTTACACAGAACATCAGATGACTGGAAAAAATGAAAGATTGATAGATCAGGATCATTATGATTCTACAAAATAAAAGATTTCATTGGAATCAAAATGTTGCCTCATCTGTGATGTAGTTTGAATCTTATGCCATTAGATTATTTCTAGTGTATAGCATCATTTTTCAGTGGGTGGCACTTTGTTTCTGTAAATGTGTATAAATAGCATATTATGAATTTTTTTGCCTAAAAACCTAAAAAATGGTTTCATTAACTACTATTTTATCAATTAGTAAATGAAATCACTGAATGCATTAGTGTATATTTTAATTTGTAATAATGTTTCTTTCTTTTTTTTATTTGTAATAAGGTGATATTGTGAAATGTAAATTCTTTTTTAATAGACTCGGTATTTAATAAAATAATATGCTATATTAGCATGAACTTATTATGTATTGATTTATTAGTCTATAATATTTTATTGAATATTTTAAAACACTCACATGCAAAATATGTCATTTTGTGACAAGTGAAACATTCCGTGTGATTCATCACTTAAGCACAAAGAAAGATTTTAAAACTGCTAAAGATGTTATTAGAATAAATGAAAAACTTAAAAGTAAATAATTTTTATTCCTCTTTTTATGGAATTTTACTAGATCTCCGTTGGAATAATATAGGTTTGATTGGAGGAAGGGCTATTTTAAATGCCTTATCCAAAAATAAAACCGTTCTTGCTCTTGATGTTTCTGGAAATGACATACCTAGTGATGTTATGAAGTCAATAGGTAATTTTTTTTTGTATACTTTCAATACTTTTTAATGAAAAATGCTTTTAAAATAAATTTGAACTGCCAATATTTTATGTTTATAGAAATGGCTGTTTCAATATCTGCTGAGAGGTATATTATAAACAATGAGAAAATTGAAAGGACTAAGACACTAGCTTCAAAATTACAGGAACTAGAAAAGGAAAAGGATGGACAGGTAGAGTAGAAGTTTTAGAATCTTCAAATGTTTACAGTTTTAAAATTTATCAGTTTAATATACTACATGTGTCAGTGTTTCTAATTAAAACTAGTTAAAATCACCATGTTTATTAAATATGAATGTAGGTAAATTAAAATTTAATATTACTAATTATGTGTCCTTGATGAAATGTTATGCATATGTAATGTTTGAAAGGAGCTACATAAAATGGAAAAAAACTGCATTTAAATTTAATTTTATTAAATATAACGTATTTATGCTATGATTTCTAATTCTAATGCTACAATATATAATTCTTTTGTTGTTATGTAATGTCTTCATACTTACACATTAATTGATACCAGAAATTTTTTGGTTAGTAATTTAATACAATCTATTAAGTAATCCACAATACTTAAATGCCAAACAATTTAAATATTGTGGATTTTAGTTGCCATACAAATAAATTTGATGGCTGCTGGGATAACTTATTTCTTAATTTCTAGCTGATTTTACTTAGCTGTCTATTTTATTTTAAAATAATTTTAAAAAATTTGATTTTAACTTTGAATGCCAGCAATAAATAAATTGTATGGATATTGTAAGTATGATTCAGCTCTCTTCTCAGATCAATTTTTTACCCTGTGTTTTATATTCATTTGTGCTTAGTAATGTTATGTTTATGTAAAACATTTTTTGCAATTTATAATTTCATTGTAGCCAATCAGCAAGAGGCGGTCACTAGAGGTTTGCCTTTTGTTTACGCATTTATTGATAATTTACTTGTAGCTTCTAATAATGAACAAGAACATTTACACCTATTTTCTGAACTTCAGGAATATGGTTTATGTATAAATGTAGAAAAATACAAATTTGGTCAATCTACCATAGATTTCCTAGGATTTAAGTTATCAGGTGAAGGAATTGAACTCCATTTATCCTCTTAGGCTTTTGCTCAACTTGTCTATGCACAACATTAAGATTACCTTCCAATCTAGTAACGAGTGATGCCATAAACCAGACCTTAAATTGTGCATATGTAAACAGTTTACTTTAAATAATGAGATCTTTAAATCTTATTTCTACTGCCCTCCACAGTAGTCTCAAAACTTTCATCAACTCCTCATTAAAAACTTGTTCTCATATATTTTTAAGATCTGATAAAGTTAATTCTCCATTGACACCACCTTATACTGGACCTCATTTAGTCGTTGACAGAAATGATAAGAATTTTATTATTGATGTAAATGGCAAATGTACTATTAGAAACTTGTAGAAATTAAGGGATTAAAAAATGCATATGAAAGGATGACAAATGTTGAAGCTACAGAAATAGACAGAGCACATTATTGAAAGAATATTATGAAAATTGTAAAGGGAAGGAGACAGTTACTAGCAATTTGTGACCAACACTAGTGCCATGTGAATTTCAGTTATTATTTAATATTTAAATGCCCATGTATGTAATGTGTGTGTATTTGTGAAAACATTTATATTATGATTATTATTTTAGCTTAAGTTGCTGATGGAGCAGTTAGAGAGGAAGGATCAAGATGTGGCTCTTAATCAAAGGCGAGACATTTTTTAATAGAATGCACAAATATGTAATTTATGAATTTTATAAATTGTAGTTTAGTTAGTAAAATGTGATATAATTATATATAGTTTTTAAATTTTTTTTAAATCCTTAAATTAGATTACTATTATATCATAATTTATTGAGTAGTTAAAAAAATCTGCATTCATATTTGATTCAAGTTTAATTAATTAGATAGTTGAAAATTTAAAAAAAAAAATTATTTGTTAACATTTTATGGAAATTTTTTGAAAACAAAGCAATTTTGTTACCATTTTATTATGAATTGTGAAAGAATTGTTCTTGTTATTTGATAAAACTGTATATTTTCCATCAGTTTTCAATACTCTTTAATAAATATAATGTATGCAATCTTCACTTAATCGTTGTTTTCTGATAAAAGCAACTATAATTTAGTTTCTTAAAAGTAGTGTCTGAATTTCCTTTTAACTGGATGAGTGAATTTTTAATTACTAATTAACAAGCAAGGTAGTAGTCAAATGTGTATGATCAAATTCATTAGTTATGTTCTTTTAAAAATTTTGTTAAAAGAGAAATTATACTAATAAATAAGAAGTGCTATTTAAACTGAACATTCTACTTTTCTGAATTAAAACTGATGTGGGCTAAGTTTCTTTTTTTAAATATAATTCTGATTATTTCTTTGCAAAAATATTATTTTATGAATTTCATCAGATATTATGTTTTAGTGATTAGCATTTTTTTATAAGTAGGTATTTGTATTATGAAATTAGAAACAAATCTGTTTTCAAGTTAAATATTTATAAGATACACTTTTTTATATAGTAAAAGATTTTATTATTGTGTATGTTCAAATGTTTATCTTAATTTTATTATTCTGGCTTTGGTAAAAAGAAAGGAAGCATGTAGTATTGTATTAATTGGTTTGTTGAATGCAATACATTTTCAGGAAGTTCAGATGTTTCCCTTTTTATAGTGTGCATTTGATATGGGTGCATTTCACTCTGCTTAGGCAGTTCTGATGTATACTCCTCATCATCATTTCTAATGAATTGATCACATAATTTTATTTTCGCAAAAAGTACTAATTTATCATACTGGTTTATTTCCAAAATTGGAAATACTTAGTGATCTGTATCTCAATTTCTTTAATGCAACACAGTGCTTAAATCAACGGATTATATTCATAATCAGTATCAATAATCACCAAATTATTTTTATAACCAATATGAATAATTGCATGCTATTTTGAGGAAAATATATAACTGTTTCATGAAAGAAATTATTAAATTTGAAGGCAAAGGTAGTAAATAGATCTGCATGTGATAAAATTTGCAGAATGTTCTTCATTGGGGGGGACACAATATATCATTTTATTATAAGAATATTTTATATCATCAATCCTAATAAGCAATATTTATTCTTTTAGGTTGAATTTAATTAAATTAAATCAATTCCAAGAAGCTTTAGTACAAAAGGAAGTTGAACTTCAAAATGAAGTTGTAAAGTATGAATGGATTTATTTATTTTCATCTTCTGATTTATGATACATTATTTGTTATATCCTTCCAATTTTTCTGTCAACTTAAAAACGTTAATAGAAAATATTACCTAGCTTACAAAAGCACACTTTCCCCCCTTCTTATTTGCATGTATAATTTTAGATCTCAAGAGCTTCAAAGGAAACTATCAATCAAAATAGATGAAGTGAACAGTTTAGCTTTAGCTTTGAACGAATTGGAAATGAAATCTAAAGAAATGAAAGCTGAGCATAGCATATTAATTAATAAAGAGAGAAAGGTATTTTTCAAAAATATATTGGAATCAATTAAGTTTTATTTATTGTTTAAAATTTTTTATTTGTTATCAACTGTGTAGCCATTTTCTTGAAAATTAAATATTCTCTTATATTGATATGATTTGTTTACACAAATAAATGTTCATTATTATATCATATGACTGCAAACAGTATATTGGAAAAGAAATAAGCTTCAACTAAACTTTTGATTTTCACATACAAAACTGTAATTGCATGCATTTTACCTAAATGTATTTACTCATATGTAATTTCTTTCTGTGTTTTGTATATATCATTAAATTTCAGACTTTAAGGAAGGTGGCTTAATTTTTCAAGGTAAATGGAGTACAAGGGTGCTTTCTAATATTTTTAAAGCAGGCAAATCTATTATACTGTAATTTTTGCCTTTCTGCTTTTTTCACAATAGCTCAGAAATAGAACAAGAAGTTGATTTGCAGATTTTCATGCAATCTAATCTCATTACCTTTCAGAGCTTTAAAAATTTGTTGGCCATCTTGAAATTTATAGTTTCCAATATCTTAAGAATAAAATAGTATGTCAACTTAAGAGTTTTCTTTTTCCTTTTTCTTTTCTCTTCTTTTTTTTTCCCATATATGAAATATTTATGAACATTCCTGAATTCTGAAAATATAGTGACCATCTTATATTCTATTAAAATGCAGCATATAAAACAGCATAAAATTTTTTATGAATAATACTTTTATTTAAAATGTCGAAATTGGAAGCATTAGCAGAAGAAAAGGTTTATAAGAGCACATGAACATTACTGACAAATTCATGATTTTGAAAATATCTTCAGAGAAGAAATAATTATAAATATCAATATTAGTAATGGAGGTAGTTCAGCAATTGTCCAGAGTATAAACCAAGTGAATCTTCAAAACAATGAAATGCAGCATTTATAATAAGATGTACATGAACTTGCTCAAGAGCAAGTTAATAATAATGAAAATAACCTTATGAAACAGCTGAGTTCACAGTATGGGAAAATGAATCTTTGAGAGAACAAACAAAGTAACTGTGACAAGGAGCACAGAGTTACTCTCAGAAACAAGTTATTGAAAGCACACAGCAACATGCAAGCATATTTCAGCAAATAGCTGTGTATGAATCTGTAGTATAAGGAAATGAAGCTTCTTAATGGCATGCAAATAAACATAAGAAGAATACCAGAGTATAAATCTCTTGTACGAGAAAACAAGGATAATGGCCAAAATCACCAAAGTAGATTAGAGGAAGCAGGAATTTATATCCTAAGAAATGAAGTAACATATTAGCAAAAACTGAGATTAGTGATCAAATATGCAATATTTCCACCAAGCATGTTTTTCAAAACAAATCACAAATTATCATTGCTGATAAATGTTCCAAGATACTTGCTAGAACAACTACACTGGAAAGTAATTTTATAACTATGCTACTGGTATATTTGTAAAAACATACTGCCCTGTTGGCATGGTAGGACTGGAACCAGGTGCCATAAATTTGAGAATACTTGGGGTTTGAATACTGGAGAAGGTATGGATGCTTGTGAGTGTAGAGTGTCTTTGTGGTATACTTAAAATACAGTCAAATTGAAAGGCCTTTTGTGAGGGAAAGATTTTGTGAGGGAAAGAAGGGTGAGAGACCATTGGTTCCTCTTTGTGAAGAGATTTTGCTCAAAATTGGGACAGAGTTTCCTCTTTCTTATAGGTGTCAAATTGGTGGTATACCCACCAAATGAAACAACTCATTAAACCTAGGGTTTGGCCTTTCCCTGTGAATATTAAACTAGCAAAGTGTCTGGCCTTTGGGGAGAAAAATTTCCAAGAAGACAACATCATTATCTAAAGCATGCTGGAATATCTTAGATTCTTAAAAAAATTCATAAAAAATTCAGGTTCTTTTGTGGTGTGAGCAAGTGAAATGTTTTGGGACAATTATCAGACCTTCTGGACTGTATGGTCAGTAAAGTTTTTAAAAGACAAGCTATTATTTTTGCATAATATATATTTAAGATTACAGAATAGCTTCCATTTAAGTTACTTTGATCGTTTCAAAACATGTAATATTTTAATTATTGCTCAGTTCAAGTTAAATATGTCTTTACAATTTCATTCAAAATCTAACTGTCATATAATTAAGATAACATTTAGATATTTAATGAGAATTCAGAAATTTAATCTAAATGAGAATTTAAAAATTCATTCAAGGTAAATGGGGTAAATTTGCATGCTGTTTTCTAACGGTTCGTTAAAATTAACTTATCATACCATGATGATTTCATACTAGAAATCAAAGGGATGATAATCGTATTTCATGAGGTTACATGTCAACCAGTGAGATTTTTAGAATTATTTAAGCATCTTGCCATCAACAAAATGATGAATTTTTTTCTTATGCTTTGCAACACTGCTTTGCTATGTACAATGTTTTGCTATGGAATTAGCTAAATTCAGTTCTTCCATTTATCCTATGGATTATAAACAAAATCAATTTAACATCATCAAAATTAATGCTTTTGATCTTCTGATTCATATGGTCTAAATTTTCAGTGTCTGAGCATGCGTTTAATTCCAAAGTATCCAAGCACTGCTTTATTTTTGAAGTTTGATGTTAAGAAAAATGATTTATTTCAAAAATAGTTTGTGATTATCTGCATTTAAATCCGTCAAAATATAATGTGCATTATTTAACTTCTGAATGAACTAAGGTGGTAATTAATCCTTTTTAGTTCAATTAAAAATGTTATAAAACTAAACACTAAAAGTGTGATTTGAAATTAAGATCTTTTTTCATATTTTTCATAAAACTTAATAATAACAGATTTATAATTTTTCTAAATTATGTATTTAATTTTTTTTCTTTATATTTTTGTTTGCGAATTTTTTGTTGGGGGGATAAATATAGTAAATGTTTTTCCATGCTCAATTATCTTTTTAACTAAATGTAAATAAAAAACGTTATGCTGTTTTGCTTCTTGTTTATGGGTTATATTAATGTCAGAAAGGTAATTTTTTAAAAAAAATTTAATGCATTTTTAATTTGAATCCTTCCTATAAATTTATTTACTTATTTTTATTTTTACAGAATAAAGAAGAAATGGAAAGAAAATTGTTGGAAGAAAATGGATCATTAAAAGAAGAAAATTTGTTTCTTAAACAAAAAGTAATAGAAGTTAATAATTTGCCATATGTATTTCTCCTAATGAATAGTGAAAATAGCATATATTGTGTACAGTTATGCTTTTGTTATGTTCTTTCTTTCTTTTCCTTTTTTTCTTGAGTAAATACAACATCAGGATGTCTCATTATTTAAAATTTGCATTTTATCCATAAATGTCTTTTTAAAATGAGAGTCTTTTTAAAATGTCTAATGAGAGCTAGGTACTTGGAACAAACATTATCAAAAATTACTCAAAAATTGCTCATTTATTTCATTTATGTTTTATTTTTAAGAAAATAATAATTAGGTGTGGTTAAATTCTTTAACTCTAAAAGTGTTCAATAAAACTGCTAACAGAATTTAAAATAGTTTTAAATTCAAATTCTTAATAAATTTAATTTGAAGCTGTATCGTATATTCTGAATTTATAAATCATAAATTGAAATAAATAGAGTTTTAAATTTTGTAAAAAATTATTTTATTTTCTTCAACAGTTTATTGAATTTGTCATTTAAAACACAAATATCAAGGAAAAATATGTTTGAATAAATTTGTTTATATATGTCATATGCTGTCATTATTTTGGTGTGAATATATTTAATTATGTATTTATAGATACAAGATCTAAAAAATAATGAGAATCACCTAGAAGAACAAATTGTTAGGTTGAAAGCAACTGTATCCAAGTTAGAATCAGTTTTAAAAATCAATGAAAGTTCTTTTCAAGGTATATATGTAAATATATTCTTATTCTTCTAATCATTTGAATGTATAGGAAAATGAATAATTTTCATTTTCTTTAATTTTTTACTAGATAATATTAAGAAAATAAGCTTGTGATTTTTGTTTTTCTCCTTACAGAACAACTATCATCAGCCAATGAAAGGCATGCAGAGATTTTGAAGGAAAGAGAATTCCTGAGAAAAAAGGAGGTTGGATACATATCATACTGTTGTCCTACGATGGCTTCTTTACTCTAAATGTTGGCCTCTGAACAACAAAGGCCAATATTTAGAGTAAAGAAGCCATCGTAGGACAACACATACATTCATATTCTATACTAATTATAAGTCTATATAAATCTATAGTATAATCTGTAGTAATTATAAGTCTATAATTTTAATAGCATGTTAATAGAATTCTTTCTTTATTAATAATGAAAAGCTGAAAAATTAGAAATTTTCTGTATTTTTGGTTGTATTTTTCAAAGGAACATTTTAAAAATATATGTACTTTTTTGCTTCCTTTTAGATGACTCGGATGAGAGAAGAATTTTTGGAAATAGAAAATACTTTGAAGCAAAAACTTGTGTTATTAGACTTGAAGAAAGCTGAATTAGAAAAAGTTTGTTTTGTTTATTTTCTTCAACTGTGCTTTATTCAAGTCCCTAATTAAGGATAACCTCTTTATTTTAATGTATATGTAACTTGCAATACATGGAAAAAAGGATTCTATAGAGTGTGTAGGTGATACATAGAATGCCTGATATTTTGGAGCAAAGTATGAGATATTTGAATTATTTTAATATTGTATGTATTTTCTGTAGGCATTATATAGATATAAAAAATGCTATTCAGGCAAAGTATTAAAGAGAATCATGAAAAGACTTTTATTGAAAAGATGTGATGTAGAACTTGATAGTATTCAGTTTTTGTTGTTGTTGTTGCTCTCTACTATCATCATAATGATTCCCATGATCTTTGCTTAGTTGTCATTTTGGCCCTTTTCTTTATAACGTCTGGTAAGTTGTAAGGAAAATACTGTTTTTGCATCATTGGCTTGCATTTTATACAGTTTATTGTAGAATCGTAGTTGCAGGCCGACATCCTTTGATTCCTTCTTTGGAACTGCACCTTGCTTTTCCATCTTCATACAGCACTGTGTAAGTCTTTACTGAACAAATTCAAATAATGTATTTCTTTCCTTCCAAACAAAGACTGAAATGCAAATAGTAAATTCTCCATCTAAGGCGAGTTACAAAATTATCATATTTTTGCTATGTCACCTTAGAAATTTCATTAGCAAGAGTATTTCATGCATCACTGGTTTGTCTTTTGTCATTGTACAGAATACCTAAGAAATGTGTATACTAATAAATTCTATACACTGCCCGATGCTCTATATAATACCTGTTTCATACATTGCTGGTAATATGTGTAAGAAAGTATTTCATTATAATTATCAATTTCAAGAGATTAAAAAAATGAGGTTATTTGAGTGCAACAAAGCATTTAAGGACTATTTGCATAAGAGAAAGGGATACCTTCCTAGAAGTCTTTTTAAAGGAAACTGATTCCTATTCATGTTACACAGAGAGAAAATCATGAAAACAGCAATGCAGCTAGTCCATTTGCAAAACTGTAACCTGAGTCAAATTACTAGTGTTCAGCAATATTACTGCTCAGCTGCTGGTGAACCACAGGTTAAAGTGAAAAGTGTCATTATTTATACGGAAATAGTTTTGTGGCTCATGTATGACTTTGCAATTCATCTGCTTCACAATCTGATCTACAGAAAATTCAAAAATTTGTCTATTTAAAGTAACAAAATGCTGTAATTTCATAAGCATGCTACAATTTGTCTTAAACATTCCAATATTTTAGATTTTATTTGTCTAACATTATACTTGCACATAAAATTCTTAATTACATAGCAGTGACTTCCAATTGTCAGTTCTATAAGTTTAAGGTTGCTTAATCAGTTTATGTATTCAGTTACTAGCAGAAATTAAGAAAAAAGGCACTCCATGAAAGGGAATAAATGCATTTACCATACTAGCACTATAATTTAAAATAAATAGAAGGCTAAAGCTGATTTTTCCCCTACTTTTTATCTTTTTTCTCCCCTCTTTTCTTTTTTCATTTTATATGCTGACATATAAGAGATAAGAAAGGAGTTGCATATATTCTGTATGTTTTCAGAAAATCTGACAAACATAGTTGCTATTAGATGTCTTGAATCAATAATTTGTTTTTGTTGTTTTATTATTCATAAATCATTCTAAATAAACAGCAAAAACAAAGCACAAACAAAATGCATTTTAGAAACATAATTTTTTGAAACCTATCATAATATAATAAATAAAATTATATTACCAGTCACATTTTTAGCATCGGTAGTTTATTATCAGTATTAAAAAAGTATCAGTATTTTCATTGTAATTCATGAGTGAATAGAGTTAACCCATGAATCAGAATGAAACAAAAAAGTAATTCAAGTATGAGACTTATTATAATTTTTACTTTTTTATTTTATTTATTTGTTTAATTTGGTCATAAATAACAGAAAAGTAAAGCAGCACATTTTAGAATGCCCTGTACAAAGAATTACTCCTTAAGTTGCTTGCAGCTATGTGTGATTTGTTCAATAGAAAATAAATCTAATTATTTATTCTTGTACAAGTAAAACTTCATTTAAGACTTAAGATGAATGCTTATTCTTTTAATAATATAATGATTGCAAAGGAGTTGTAGTAAAACAGAACAGAAATGTACCAGCTCATGTAATCAGAAATTCAAGCATAAAAAATTATCTCCCCCCCCCAAAAAAAGAAAGAAATTCTCCATATTTTGATTTATTCAGACAATGAATTTAATAATTAATGACTGTTATAGTAAAATAAATTTATTATTCTGATTTAATAGTTAGATTATAGTTCATTTACCTAAATAGTGACAAATTGCTTTTAAAAGTGAAGAAAAAGTATTGATAACAAACAATATATTTAAACCCCAAGCATATGAAGCTTTTTTTTTATTAAATTTTATGATTTGCTGCTGCTATGTTCCTTTCTGTTAATAAACTTCTGAAGTTTATTCTTAATGATTATATATTTCCTAATCATAGATTCAAAACAATTTTTTGGAAAGATCTTTTGTTCATTTTCATCAAAACAGGAGCAAAATATAAATGCAACGTGTAAATAAAATATTTAAAGCTCAAGTTTTTATTATATAATTACTTTCAGGAACTTGCTGATAAAAAGTCACAGTTAATATTAGAAAAAGCACAAGCTGATGAGAAACTTAATGAATTAGAAAAGAAAATGAAATCAGATCAGGTACTTATATTTCATTTTTATGTTAATATGCTAAAACATGCAAGTTTCTTATTTTATAAGATTACATAATTATTTTGAAATTAGAGTGCATTGAAATATCAGATTTTTCTAGGATTAAAAATATTATTAATTAGGATAACTATGCATTTAAAATTAAAGGGGAAAAAGCATGAAAGAAGATATTACATGAAATTATAAATAATGGACAACAGTCATATGTGACGGTTGAAACTTTGCTTTCATATAAATAAAAGGTTTGAAAACTACATTTGCTAACTATTTCTTCTTATTTGATAATGCAAAGTTTAAAATAATGCTGAATTATAATTCACTTCATTAGATGGAAATTTCTCTTTGAACTTTTTGTTTAAATATTTTTGTGTTTTTCTTTTCTGACACCAGTTGTTACGTTATTTAAAATTGTTGCATTTTTCTTTTCTGACACCAGTTGTTACATTATTTTCTTCCTTCACGTTCGTATGGGGGTTCGTCGATTCGGAGTGAATAACGACGACACTTGATGAAGTATCGAAACACACTTTATTTAGCCAATATTGATGAGGACAGCTCCAAAGTCATGTTTTACAGTAGTCGAAGTTCTACTGTACACTCGCTGGAACAATCAGCGACACAGCCTTCACACTGTCAGGCAAGAACGGTGGAGACAGCTTCACTGCAAAGCACCAGAGTACAGCTCCCGACTTTGCACGGTCGTTCTCGGAACTCCACGTACTATCGAGACTCTCCACACCATAATTCGCGATGCACTCGATGATGACACACAGAGCACAGCTCCTGACTCTTTGGTTCAGTCGTTCCCGGAGCTCAGCACGCTCTCTCGATGGTGCACTCTCTCACGATACACTAAGAGACTCCTTCGGTGTGCTTGACAACCCACTTTGCACTCGCTGCCTGGCTGTCAACTTCATCGACTTTGCATGGACTGACTAACTCGAGACTAACTATTTTGCACTTGATGAGGTTCTCACTCTCGCCCTCTCGAGGAGGCACGCACACTCACTGACTGCGGACCAGCATGGTTTATGTAGCTTTCGGCTTGTGCTCGAGAGCATTCTGGGTTAAACGGTAAGGATTCAATCCAGAAGGTTCTCCATCAGTCCATGGCATATCGCCAATAATGTCGCCAAATGGGCGATTTCTCACCAAATGTGGCAACCTGGCCTTCCCTTACCATTTGTGGCATTCCCTTACCATTTTTTACATTTTATGGAAGCCCTAAACCTGCTTTGCGGGGGGCCATCTCACCGCGCCTGGACATTTTGTAACATTAAATGGAAATTTCCCTTTGAACTTTTTGTTTTAATATGTTAAAATGGATTATAGGTGCTAGAAATTATAAGAATATTGACCAAGTCATTATAAAAATAGTTTTTTTTTTCCCCATCAAAAATAAATGTGTAATTTATAAATATATGAGTTTATAGAGATATTATTAAAAATAATGAGATTTTGAATAGAATAGACATATTGTTTAAATTCAGGATCTTGTGAAAGAAATAAAATACTTTTCATGCACTTTTATTTACATTAAACCATAGAAAAGTCAGTTTATAAATATCTTTTAGATTAAAATGTGTTTCAGAAATATCTGAGAAAAACTTATATTCAAAAGCATTCTGTGTGATTATTTAGTTAAATTTACTAAATCTTAATAATCATAACTGAGGTATGATTATTATGATTTAGTTAAATAGTAATTCAGTTTAATTCTGTAGCATATACAGAATGTATGTGCATAATATCTTTTAATAGCAATCATATTTGTTCTGTATATTTTACTTACTAAATTTATTTATTAACATGCTATGTTTTAAAACTAAAAATTACAAAATATTTTTGTTAATGCTCATTGTTTGATGTGGAAAACTTCTAAAACCATTTTTTTACCCTAAAAAAATATTTCTAAAACTTAAATCCTATTACTTATATTTTTTTATATAGCTTCAAAAGAATTTGTCATACTTCAGGCAATTATGAAAAAAAAAAAAAAAAAAAAAAAAAAAAATGATTAGTGCATAAAACCAAGCATTGTTATTTCATTGTCTCCCCTTTTTTTTTCTAATTGCATGTAAAGCATAATATTTTTTTACTTTTTAGTCTTCTATTAATCCAGCCAATAATATTAAATCAATTATTATAACAAACTGCTATTATTATAGCTTCTTCGGACTGTTGTTATTGCTCCCAATTAGCTAACAGTTTCTTAACCAGCTGAAAATTAACTGAGCTCTCTCAATAAAAAGGTTATTATTGAGGGGGGATGATGGAAAAATTATTGTTACAAACCATTGGCATAAAATGATAAGTGTATGGAAAGTACAAAGAAAAAACGAAAAATGTGTGGGATAAAATTAATGATAGCATAGTCATTTATAGCTTAGTTTCTTCATTTCTAATGATGTTTTTGGTTTGTTATAACTATATTAATTGATTCTTGAGATTAAACTGCTTTAATATGCAAGAAATACGTTAATAGTATTTTATGTTAATCATAACATGAATTATTTCTATTTCCGGTGTTTTTTAAATGACCCTGATTTTTAAATTAACTACTGATGATGTTTCTGGTATCACCCCATAAATTAAAGTTGATTGTAACATGATTTAAGATATAAGTAATATAATAATAATTTTAAATATATACTTTGTATTATATTGAATTTCATTAATCTAGCTTTTGAAATTAATACTGTGATACATGAATATTGCTTTTATTCTTGGGTAAATGGTTTATTTATATTTTTATTTTAGGAGAACTTAAAAATGCAAATGGATAAAAGAATAAATCTTCTTGAAAATGTGAAACAAAAGCAGGAAGTAAAGTAAAGTTTACTTAATGTATACTAAGTTTTATATATGAAAAAACAGTTTATAATGCTAAAATTGATGCATTGTTTAAATTTTAAGCTGCCATGATATTGAGATAATTATTCATTAATAAAATTTAATAAAAGAAAATGGCATTATTATGGTATAAATTATTAAAATTACAGATAATTGCAAATTAATTTCTAAATTCATAATTATTATAGCATTTATTTTAAAATACACTATTTTTTGTGCAAAAATATATTGCACATCTGTTTTATTTAACAATATCTGGTACCTATTGTAATGTTTAAAATTCTGAAATCTTTTACAATTTATTTATTTATTTATTTATTATTATTATTATTATTATTATTATTTGCAGTTTTAATTAAAAAAACTGTAGACTTTGCTTTAGTTTAAATCATGTGTGTTTTAAATACTTATTCATTATTTTCTATAGTCCTTTTCTGAATTAATATGCAAATTTTCTTAAAATTGGCCTAAAAGTGAGATCTTTTCAGAGGAAAATAAATGTTCAAGCACTGATAAAAGTAGCATTTCCTGAGTTAACTATATTTTTTTTTTCTTTCATAACAACACTTAATGAATAATCAAAACATTCATAGCTATACTGGGCCATGCTGTATTTATGTCTTTACTAAGGTATGTTATACAGCTTTCTCTAAGTATCATATTGTTAGAGAAAGTGAAGTTGGTTAGACTGCAGTTCTCAAGTATAAGTGCACTCAGTGTATGATTGCATTTCTCCATTTTCTGTAATTTTTATTACTTTAATTGTCAAAGAACTGAAAAGCAAGTGGCTTTTATGTGTTTCATTTATACCATCAAGCTTAACTGTTTAATTTATGCCAGATGTTTTGAGGGATATTGAAAAGCTGTAATTACACCAGATTTTCAGATGATATAAAGATAATTATGTCATTCAACTAATAATTAAAAAAAACTCTTCTAAACTCTCTAGTCAGTGGAAGTTGCTACATTAGCATATATTCTCACATTTTTAACATTTAAGGACAAATTCAGACGAAATATGATTAAAATTCTTTCTTATTTTTATTTAGCAATAAATATTTTTTTATAAATATTCTTTTTATCTTCTCATTGTTATCTTTGAAATACTCTTTACAATGAAAATACAAAATCCTATTTTCATTCATAACATCCTTCATTCACGTTTCATGTGTATCTTGCAATTTGAAAGGTCTCAAAATATTTATGAGGTAAGTATACTAATTAATGCCAAATGAAGGTGATTATCACAAATATTAAGTTTTAGTAATCAAAATTTAAAATGCATGTAAAAAGTCTTGAAAATTCTAAAACACAAAAAAGTAAAATAAATTAGAAATAAAATTTCTAATTTATTACTAATTAATAAAATAGGAGCCTAAGTTTTACTTTACGTAGATTTCTTTAAATAGTGTAAATCTTGTTTATTTTAACTACGAAAATTATATTTGATTTGATGTCATAATAATTACTGTTTATATCATCATAATCTTTTTAGTTGACTTGAATTTATATTGATGTTTTTCAATTCAGCAAAAACTATATTGAGACTACTAAAAGTCGTTTAGGAAAAAAAGAAAAAAATTAAAGGTGCTAATTATTATTGTATATTATATTATAGCATTTAATTTATTGAAATCCATAGCACTTTTCAAACAGAATTATTTCAATTAAGAAAGCTATAAAATATCCAATATACTTTTGTAATTACTAAAATACCTTCTGTGTTTATTCTGAAATAGAGACTTTTACAAGAACATTTACAAACAATGTATGAATTAAAGAAAAGAACAACAACTCTTGACATGGAACTGGCTGAAGAAAGTCATAAAGTACAGCATTTACAACAGGTAAGTTTCACACTCGGGAATCAGCATCTTGTTGAAGGAGAAAAAAGTTTATGGCAATTATTTTGCATTTTACTAACTATTAAGCTTAATTTGAGCATCATTTTCCCCCTTTGATTCTTGTCGCATATTTTTACTCAAACCAAAAGATAATGGGAATTAAGAAAATGTGTAAAAGAGTTTAAAAGCTAGTTAGGTTCATTGTCTCACAATACATGCCTCGTGAAGTAAGCTGCCATGCTGACTATGAGAATTAATAAGGAGTAATTTTTAGAAATTGCAGCAATTCCTATTCGCTACTTGAAGTTGGTAAGTATGTCTTTAGAATGATTAACTGAGAGAATAATCAGGTGTCTTGTTTGAAAGCATTTGATCTGTGATTCTTGTAAATTCCAAGCAGAGCCCACACTAGTCTTTTCCTGCTTGTTGCAAACTCTACAATTTCTAAATTCTGTCACCTGGTTTCTTCCTAAATTCTAAAAGTTTTGCCACTCAGTAAGACTGAACTAGTTGTGGCACCAGTCCTGATTCCAAGACATTTTTTTATTATTGTTAATTTCAGGACCCCCTGCATGTAAAAAAGTTTTAGGAGTTCAAGGTCGCCTAAATATAAAAAAGTTATCTTTTAAAATATATTAACCTTTAGATTTTACTTCTTTCTTACCTTTAAGAATAGTCAAGTAGTAGACTTAGAAAGTATGCAGTGTGTATTGCAATTTTTTGTATCATAAATGTGTACAAAAATAATAATGAATTTATTCACTAATTAAATATGAGGGCTATTCAAATACATATAGAAACTTTTCATGTTTCATTCTTGTAAAGATTTTAGGGTAGTTTATGACTCGTTTAGTAATACATGTGTGTTTCAGTTTGTCAGTCATAGTGCTAGTTACTCTTTTCATCACATCTATCAGTTATAATAAACATATAATAACATGACGTTAACAACAGTGTTGCACAATGAATCATTATGAGATTTTTAACTAACAAAATTATAATTCTCTCTCAGGCCAAGAACCTCAACTGATAAAGACAAGATGACTATTACTGGTGCATTAATTTGAGTCAATAAAAGAATTGCATTAAAGAAATCGTCAAGGAATTTAAAAAGTGCTGATAATGTGAAAACACAAGTCAAAAACTATCACAAATTAAAAAGTTTAAGGAAGTAAAAAAATTCAAGTGTAATGAGCAGATTACTAATGCTGTGCTAGAAGAAATCATAATGCAGTCAAAAGACTTGTATTCTTCTGGAGTTACGAAACTTTCTAGGTGTTGGAACAAGTACATTGCAGTGCAGTTATGTAGAAAAGTAGTGTGTGAATCATTTCAATGAATAAAGTTAGGTGATAAATTCTGTTTACATTTGATTGTCTCTCGACTATCAAAATAAAAAAAAAAGATACTAAAATAAAGATTTTAAATACTTGTATTTAAACAGATGTATTCAATTTTTTTATATTAATTCATAATACATTATAGAAAATACTTACTTTCATTTATATATTTTAAATGTAATACTTATACTACTGTAACAGATGATTAAATTCTTAGATATTTAATGTGATTTTGCTATTAACTAGTGCCTTGAAGCCAAAGATGCTGAAATGGAAGTTGCTATAGCAAAGGTGAGATTAGAGGTTAAAGAGCAGATAGAAGACCTTAACAGAATAAAGCTACTGCTTCAAGAATCATATGATGAAAAAGAATTGCTTAAAAAACAGATTGAAAGTAAGAAATAAGGGTTTTATAACATAATAAAACCTTAAATATAAGATTTATTTTTTAAAGTGATGTTTTGGAGTTGTATATCAAAACAGCTGCTAATTCTTCACAAAATGTAAAAGCGTAATCTAAAAACCATGTCATTTCAATATTTCTAACATTAGTCTTTAATACATCCAGTTTTGTTCCTACAGTTAATTATCACCCTCATAGTAAATTATGTCACTGTGCTAAAGAAAAAAAAAAATATCTGATGTGGACACCACATGGCTTCTTTGTACAGCCTATTAACCCTTTGACGCGCACGATATTATTTTTATAATTTTTTTAACTAAAAACTCTAGAAATTGAATATTATGATCCTAGAGACAAATAATATATGAATTAAAAAAATCTACTCTTGCCCATTGTTTTGTGGGTGGTGGTCGCACTGTGAAACCACTGCGCGTCTAGGACTTTGAAACTTACCTAGGTAGTAGGTAAAGAAAACTTACCTTTCTCCATGCGCATTTCCAATAAATGACGAAATTTACAAATTTAAAAAAAAAATGCATGTAAGAATTGCATAATATATATATTTTTTACATTATTGTACAAACTAAACCTCAGAAAAAATTTAGAAATAAACATTTATGTAATTTTTCTATAGCAGTGAAAATATAAGTACCTACATAATAAGGATGTTTGGCTACCTGGATTAAAAAACTCGGTAAAATAAGGATAAGAAAAAGACTCAGTTTTTTTTTTTTTTTTTTTTTTTTAATTTCAAAGAACAAATATTTTTTGTAACACTGTTCAAAGAATGTTTTGTCTTTTTGGTACATGCGTAGACCCACATTGCACGTTTCGCACATGTATCTTTTTGCACTTCACACATTTCGCACTTCTATGATGTTTCTTCCTTGTGCTACAAAATGTACACTAATTGGATCTGTTAAGTTTCACTGATATATGTCCAGCGATATTTAGTTTCTTTTCATCTGGCACATGAAATTTGTGGTTTTTTTATGTTAATGGTTGGGGGCTTGGTCTTTTTGGCTTTGGTACAGAATCATTCGTTTCCTATTCATACTTATTTTATTCGTATTTCGTCTCAAAATATTCAGAAAATATTTCTTATTTAAACAAAACTTTACACGATTTCTATTTTTAATTACAGCAAAGTATATTTACATTAAATTTAAACTACAGGAAGTAATTTATAAAATCACAATACTAGCTTGGGGAACAAGTGTGTTGAGGTCAGAGAAAAGTCTCTGGAAAAGAAAGACATTTTTACTGGGCAGGTGCATGTATTGTTTAGTAATAAAATAACTCTGTGATTTCAAAACCCCTTATTTATATCTGGGTAAAAATAAACATTCCTATTTGAGAAGCAAGTAAACGCCATTGTGAAGAGCAGTGGTTTCAAGGCGCGACTACCGAGCCTCAGTGGTCGCGCCCTGAAACCACAACGCAAATGCCATACATATAGAGGGTTTTTTATATATATGCAGTTTAATTATTGCTATTTTTTATCGTTCATGATAGAAATCATGATGTGCGATCAATAGCTTTTGAAATTTATATTAATAAAAGGAAGTTATTTTGTCTCATTGAAAACAAATTTTAAAAGTCATCCGATTTGAAGTAGTAAGACCTAAAACATGTATGATTCTGTAGTAATTTTGTGTTAGTTAGAGATAAAAGATCAGTAATCAATTGATTTTCACTCAAAAATTTTAGAAGGAAGGGGAGAAAAAATTTCAAAAATTGGTGGTTCCAGGGCGCGACCACCGCGCGTCAAAGGGTTAACACATCTTTTGCTGCACTTAAACTTATTTTCTCAAATTTTATTTGAGATATATTTCGTATTCAATCAATTCAGTTCTCATTTTGCAGCAAGGAAAAAATATACAAAAACTAAACATCATCATTAAAAAATGTAAAGTACATAAAGTCTAAAACATGAAATATAATTCAAAACAGTTATTATTATTATTATTTTTAGATTGATTAAAGTTTCTATGCGAAAGCAAGAATCCGGCCAATGGGCAGAAAGACCAAATTTTCGGTGTACAGAATTGAAAGTTAACTTTTGGTCCCACTGTACAAAAAAAAATTTGAAGTCGGTGCACCAACTGACTTAATTCACAATTCTATTAAGAGTTTCAAATGCAAACAAATGGCGGCCTCGTGCCACTTTTAAATTGTTGATAACTCTGCAAATACAGCATGCAGATTATCTAAAGCCATAGAAATTTTAACCGGAATATTAGAACAACATAACCCAAAGAATCCATAAATTTGCCAACATATAAAAATACTGAGCAAAAAACTGGCCGTGTAACAGGGTACAAATATATATATATATATATATATATATATACAGGGAGAGAGAGGGTGTTTCTGCAAATCAGTTACAAACATTCGGGGCATGGAAACACTTTCTGAGCATGATAGTGATGACATGAAACACAAGAAAGGAAGGACACGAACAGAGTGAGAATGTATATGTTTATTATGCTTTATGCAGCAGAAACTAAGAAATAAGAACAAAAACAGACAATTGTTATCAAAGAAGGTGTTCGAAATTGTGTTTGAAACGTATCCTCAACATGGGATTGTCAGTTAATGATGCGGTGCATTGGCCATCAAGATCGCCGGATCTCTCTTGCATTGACTACTTCCTGTGGAGGTACGTCAAGACATTGGTGTGTACGAAACCCCAATTAGAAGTGCTGAGGAACTTGTCGCACATATTGTGGCAGCTGCTGGGATAGTCCAGGACATGCCTGGTGATTTCCAGAACATCAGATCTTCCATGTGCTGAGACGTGAGGTCTGCATCTGGATCCAGGGTCATAATTTTGAACACCTTGTTTGGTGACGATTGTTGTCTATTTTTGTTTTATTTTTTGATTTCTGCTGTATTAAGCATAATAAACATGTTTCCTCACCCTGTTCATGTTCTTCCTTTCTTGCACTTTGTGTCATGTCACTACCGTGCCAACAAAGTGTTTCTGACCATGCATTGCTATGCGTTTTTCCATCATCTAGGTGTACCCTGAAAGTTCATAACCAATTTACTGAAACACCCTGTATATATATACACATGCATTTTGTGTAGCTAACTGCAATGAAAAAAGGACATGTACAACTACATGTTGCAGCAGCCCCATATATAAAATTTCAACATTCTACAGCTACTCGTTTTTACATTATGCATATGTATGATTGTAGAGAGGTCATGAAAAAAATCTCTTACGAATCCTTTTTGGAGAAAAACAGTCATTTATTATGTCAGTATGTATATACAGTACAAAGTCCGTAATACGGACTTGTCGGGACTTCGGATTAGGGGTTTTTCCCGATTATAGATCATCAATTTAAATCTGGTAAGATAGCATGCAGAAATTATACAATTCAAAATATGAAACCATAATTTATGAAATAAAGAGCAATTATGATCTAAAGGGTATCAAAATTTACAACACAACAACAACAAAAAAAAAAAAAAAAAAAAGCTTAATATTTATTTGTTTACTTTATTAAACATTTCTTTCAATGTAAGTGTTTAAGTTGCTTTGTTTTATGTGATAATACTTTCTCTTTAATTCTATAGACAGACATAATTCCTTGTTCAGTTACAAAGTTCCTCTGTTCAAGTCCTGTAATTGCTGTGTCGAAGAATACTGGACTAACTTGTCAATCGAAAATTTTTTAGTTTTCAATAACCTTTGTGTCACTTTCTTCACTATCGGCATTGGTATTTTCTGGATCTAGAACCATACTACAGATTTCGTCCGTCAGTTAAATTGATTGATGATTGGAGCATTGTCACCGCAATGAAAAACTTCTGTTATATCATCTTCATTTATTACTGCTTCTCCACATTTCTCTACAAAATCCAATAACTGGAAAATTTCACCTTTAGTTTGCGATGTCCGAAAACCTTCAAATCCGCAGCTATTATCTTTATCGTCCTCACCATGAAATATGGTAGCTGGCCATAAATTATCCAAGCATTTTTTAACGTATCTGGTAACACATCCTCCTAACTTGTATGCGCATGCATAAAGCATACAAGAAAACAGTTTGTGGCTTTGAGGTCCGGATAATGGACGTCCGGATCACTGACTTTGTACTGTATATCATGCAAAAAAATCATTCAAATGGAGTGTGGTCAAAAAGGGATATTTTTGCTGAAATATGATACCAGAAATTTTACACAATTACATTGTAACCAATGGTGCTAGAGCTATGACGAGCAAAAAATTGGGCTCACTGGACTTTTGCAAAAAGAAGGAATAACATGTTGTATGTTACACTGTATTATCATTCAGGAGGTATTATGTGGTTTATCCCTACAACTAAAAGACGTAATGGACAAGGTTTGCAAAATTACTAATTTAATTCGCGGTGGAAATCATTCTCTTACACACCGAAAATTTAAAGCATTTTTTGGATGAATTGGAAACTGAGTATGGAGATCTGCTTTTATATAGTAACGTTCGTTGGTTAAGTGCTTGAGGAGATTCTTTACACTTCGAAAAGAAGTTAATCTTTTTCTCACAGAAATTGCCGTCGATGAAAATTTGACAGTAAATTTAGTTGATAAAATTTTTATTTATTCACTTGCTTCCTAACGAACATTACAATTTTTAAATATTTGAAGAAATCCTTGCAAGGACAAGATCAAAATGTGTGTTTGCCTTTATAAATATGTTCCTGGATTTAGAAACAAATTAAAATTGTTAAGGTTTAATTTGGAGCAAAATAATTTATTTCATTTTGAATCTTACAAAGATCTATGAAGAAATAAAAGAATGTAATATAGAAGCGAATTTTAAAATATTTCTAACAAAATTGGATATGCTAATTACAGATTTCAATGAAATATTTTCTCGATTTGATGATCTTAAACCATCTATTGATTTTTGTTATCCAATTAATATTGATATCAACTCCGTTGATCTTAAGTATGAAATAGAATTATGCGACCTGCATGCTGATCCATTTTTTACATCTCGTGGAGTAACTGGAATAGAAATATTCAAATTTTTAGATAAAGAGAAATATCCAAAATTGAAAGATTTTGGACTTCAAATTATATCAGTGTTCGGAAATGCATATATCTGCGAGTGTGCATACTCCGATATGAAATATATAAAGTCAAAATATAGAAATAGTTTGAAAAATTCCACTCTTGAAGATATAATTACCACTTACCCAACAAATATTGATGTGGACATAAATGATATTGTGCTAACCATTACGCCCACAATGTTCTCATTAATATATTACTAATATTTTAAAGTTTTCTTTTTAGTATAAATAAAATATTGTTTTTTAATTGACATAAACTGACATTTCATTTATCAACCTTCTTGGCCCCTGAAATGTTTGGAGAAGAAAATATGGCTCGCGGGCTATGATAAGTTGGACAGCGCTGAACTATAGCACAGTCACTGATCATCAGCATAGTACATTCTTTGATCATTGCAACTCATTATTTACTATCAGTATCATCACAGCTTTACATGGCATAGCTACTCCTAGATTGCCTGTCATATTGACACCTTTCCAAGGCTAACACAAGTACTGGTGTCCTTCTAAGTGATCATATTTGGAACATGAATAAACTTAAATGTTGACAAATCATAGGATCAAATCTGGCATGCTATACTCATCTCTTAGCAGTGCTGAATAATCAGTTCCTACAGAACCACAGTATGAATCATTGCAACATACTTGACCTCTTTTATTTATATATATATTTTTTTTCTTGAATAGATAGATACGTTGCTTTTAAATCATTTTTATTCACATATATGCCAATTTTCATTGGGCATAATTTTTTCCATATGTGCTTTCCCTTGTCCAGTTTTGACAAAGAATATACTTCAGGATTTTTCCATGATATGAATTTCCTTTGTCAGTATTATGTGCGAGGAAACCTTAGCACCATCATAAAATTTTGCAATCATTTCTAAGTGACTTGACTATTTTTATTTGGTATGTAAAGCTCATAGCAAAAGCTCATCATAAAACTACATTACTATTCACGTTTTGCTAGAGGGGGTATATATATATAAACATTTTGGGTAACGCAAAGAAAAATTTGGATCCTTTTCAGCATAAATTACCATATTAGGGAATTTGTTCTGCTATAAAAACTGGTTTACTTACCTCAGTTTACAATTTAAGTATTTGAATGAGGTAAAACAAAGAAAGTTTTAAGTAAAAAATAAGCATGTCTCTGTTACTGTGAATTCTTCCATAAGACATCCCTTTAGTAAGTTGAGAAATGAAAATGAAAAGTAATATTCTTTGTAAAGGTATATTTGTAAAATAATAATCTTTGTCTAATTTTTAACTGTTAGACATATTTTTCCTGATCTATTGACCTTTGAAACAGCAGATAAAACATTTGTCTTTTATATATTCTCAAGGAGTGGGAAATAGAGACATTTTTAGACTTGTTTCCTTAAATGTTCTTAGGCTATGTATTTTGTGGCTGTTCTTTAAATCAGTTTGTTATAGCTATGTTCTAGCTTGTATGAGAAGAAATTGTTTGTCAACAAAAAATCTTTTAAAAAGAAACTAGACTTTCTTTTATTTAGGTAGAATATGTTATTTGATTAGATTTAAAAAGTGATGACAAGTGTAGCATGTAAGGCTCCATAAAATTCTGAAAAGGCTGGCATAATTACCAAGGTGCAGTATGGAGAGAAAAATTTTGTTGTGTGTAAAAATATAGTTGTCTTTATCTACAGCACAAACACTGAGAAAACAGAGAAGCTGTACTCATTGCTCTTGGACAGAATTTTGCTATCATGGTTCAAAAACCAGTGTGAAGTTGGATTTCCATATAAATAAAACAAGAAAAATTAATAAAAATAACTTTTATAAATGACTGGTAAATATAAATTTTAAAATCAGTACAAACAGCTAAAGCCAAGGAACCCTTGCAAGGAAATCTTTATCTGTGCAGCTTTATCTTTCATTTACGTAAAAAGTATTCATACATGCAACGCCTTGAAAATCTCAGTAATATGTATGTATTGTGTAATGAGGGTTTCTGAACCCCTTTCTAAAAGAACTGTTTTAATTGACACTTTAGAAGTGAAACTAATAAATTGGATGGACAATCACTCCCATTTAAAAATACTGGACATTTTTCAATCCTGGATGTCTTACACCCCTAGCTAGTGAAAATGGTAGGGAAAGTGAAAACACATCAAAAACAATCAGTCCAAAATCCATTATAAATTATGATTAATCTAAGAAACATTACACATGTCAATGCAATTTAATGAAACATATCTGTGAGTAATATATGTATCACAGATCGCATTACACATTTTACAAAGAGATCCTTGGCAAATCAAAATTCATATACCAACTTTTTTTCAGTATTTAATGAAATATTTATCATACCATAAAACAGCAAGATTACTCAGTAATGTAACATTTTATCTCTGAGCAATTAGATAATTTGCAATATTCAATTTTAACAGCATTTTCCCCTCATCTGTAAAACCTGTTATCACCTCAAGCTCTGCCTCCTCAGGACAATCTTGATAAATTTGTAGCAGAATATAACTATATGTTATCAGAAATCTGTTGTTAATAATAGTAATGAATTAAATAATTCTTACCATGAAAAGGACCACACAAATCTACAGTAGGCTATCAAGAATACAAAACATTTATACTTTTTCTTTCTGACAAATTATAAAAACACTGAGAAAAACAGAAATCCATTAAAAATATTAAAAATGGAAACAAAATAATTTGGAATTATTATTATTAGTCTGTGTTCTGCAAACTATTTTTACATAATGTTTTCTCCAAATTAAATGATAAAAGGTAAAATGATGTACAGATATGCAGTTATATTTTTAATATTTTATGATGTACAGATATGCAGTTTTATTTTTAATATTGAATATGTTCATTGGTGCATTTATACAGAAAAATTTGTATTTAATGCAAGCTTTAAATTTTGTTTGTTTATATAATTTAGATGCATAGTATGATTATTTAATTTATATTATAAAAATCAAATGGAATTACAGTCAAAAGTCGTTAATTCGGACACTCATAATCCGGAATGATCTATAATCCGGACCTCAAAGCTAAAATCTTTCTGCGCATGCGTCGCGTTGATGCATGCGCATAGGCGTTTTACGCGTGCGCGCAAGACCTTTACGACTGCTGCAAATATGCGTGTGCGCGTGCACATAAAACGTTTACGCATGCGCGTTTAATGTTATAACAGACGGTATAAGCTCTAATTATCTATTTCAGTTAATGTTGATGATTGCGTTTTCCTTAATCTTCGAATTGGATCCGGCTTATATTTTTTGCAGACTGTAAGAGCAATTTTATAAAAGTAGCTTGAACTTTCGATTATGTCAAATAGAATTTCCCGATGCTGGAGCTCCCAAAGGATCTAGAAAACGAAATATGTTTCGATGTCCATCAAACAAAAAATGGTAAGCATATCCTTTGTTTATCTAACCATTCCGAAATCTGTTTATCAATTTCACGCTGCTCTGCGCGGTGGGGGGGGACGTCGCGGGCACGCAATGATGGATTTGATCTGTCAGCACTATCGTTATCTTCGGGCAGATGTTTTTATTTTATTCGGCTTATAATTCCTTACTAAATGTAGTATTAATCTCGAATGTACTCCATCTTTGATATGATTTAAATCAAATTCCTCGTCATTATAAATATCACGAATACAAATCAAATAGTTTTCTGGTTGCAATTTTCTATTTTGGCTATGCGTAAGGTATGCTTTACGCATGCGCGCGTTAAAAGAAATGTTTAATAAAGTAAACAAATAAATATTAAGCTTTTTTGTTAATTTTGATAATCCTTAGATCATAATGCTATTTTATAAATTACGGTTTCATATTTTTAATTTATAATTTCTGCATGCCATCTTACCAGATTTAAACTGATGATCTATAATCCGGATCGCCGAAGTCCCGACGAGTCCGGATTAAAGACTTTTGACTGTATATAATGTTCTGAGTAAAAGCAAAGGAACATTTTAATTATTTGAATTTTTAGAAATATGCTTGCAGTATTTTTAAGTTCTTTGCATAAGAAAGCATTTACACCTAGCAATGAATTATTTTTTAATTAACATAATTTAACAAGAACTCTTACAATAACGTTATAAGACATGAGTATATTTCCTTTTTTGTGACTGTGTAATAATTATCTGGAACAGTATTAAAAGCATTTCCTTTTAAATGACCTTCGATCCAGATTTATTTGGGGTTACATTTTATAGATATTTTCTTGCCTGAAAATTAATCCCATTAATCTAGTATTTACTAAATATGTTGAAAGCATTCAAGTTTTAATGTGATATGATTTTTAAAATACAAAATACAATTATTAATTATATTCATCTTACAGATAATGAAACAAAACATGAAGAACAGTTAAAAAGTCAGAATGAAATCATCCAGAAATTGAAAGCTGAAGTCAAGCAGTATCATAATAAAATTTATGAAATCTTAGAAACAGAGAGTAAACGAGCTGAAGAACTAAAAGCAACTCTAACTTCATATTTAAATTCAGATGTTGAAAAGAATTTTTCATTGCCAAATAACTGATGAAATAGCACAACAGAGTTTTTCTTCCAGTTTTGTAAGAAAAAATAATAATAATGACAGTGTGTCTTTAACTGAAATAGTATCAGTATTTTGAATATGTAAGATTTCAGTAATTTTATAACACATATCTCAAAGATGTGAGAATAAAAAATAGACTATTTTAAATAATAAAAGAAATTTTGTTTATCCTCTCCTAATTATGATATTTTGTTAACTTTAAATGGTTGAAATAATTTTTCAGTTGTTAGAGAAAAATAGTAATAATTTCCACAGAGCATATGTTTTATGAAATTAAGAACTTTTTGAGTAATTTAAAAACAGCTTTAACTTTTAATCATAAGTTTACGGTGCATATATATCTCTTAAAGCTGTTATTGTAGCTATCTGTATACATCTAACAATTATATTACATATTAATATTTATTTTCTAACAATGACAAATGATACAATCCAGTAGAAAAATTTTACATACTAATAGACAAAAATGTTTAAAAAAAGTAAAAACAAATAATGCTATTAATTTCGCATGTGTGATTGAAATTTTGTATTCTAAATCCGAATGATTTGAACAATTTGTTTGTGTGAATAACTGAAACATCACATGTAGAAAATTTTCCAGTATTTTAATAAAGTAGAAATTTTATTCAAAGAAAGTTATGAAAAAGTCACATTCGGAAACAGGATAAAACTGTAAATATAAAATATACACACAAATATAAGGTTAAGTAGAAATTATGAAATTCTTGCTGCCGTATTAAATTTTATTAAATATATTAATAAGATAATCAAATTTAATATAAGTATACAAATAATATGAAATAAGCTCTAGAATGAAATTAATTTTTCTGAAGTCTAACATAACATTTTTCAAATTGTACACTGATAGACTTACAAACAATGCTCTAAGCAATAAAAATTTTAACCATTAAAATTTTTCACTCACATTGTATAATGTATTTTTGTTTCATTTTGAAGCTTCAATGTAATTTAGAAGTACGTATATAAACTGATTTTATTACTTTGATGTTTTACAAAAATTTTCATTTGTGCTTTTCAAGTTTTATGCCAAGATAATCACAAGGAAATATTTTCACATCAAGGTAGCTTATGTTACCAATTTCCTAGCTGGATATAAGAAAGAAAAATAAGTATATTTTATATCACTTAATTTTTAAGAATGAATGACTTTCTAAATTTTATAAAGATATGAAGGATGAATAAATTATTATTTAAATTTATTAAAAAGTATAATCTTCATGCAACACAATATTCTAGATATACTAAATACAGATATATATTAGTTTTTTAATCTTGATTACACCTGATATATATGCAATAATGAGCATTTTATTAGCATTGCAATCTTTTAATATACTAGTGATAATCTTTAAGGTACAACATCCTTAAAGTAAGTTAAAATAATAATCTAAAAATTTAAGAACTACAATATTTTTTTGTCATTAATCAATGTATTTTCATCAATCAAACCTTGGTATTTAAGATAAAAATTACAAACTCAAGGACGGAATAAGAGCAGTATCTTTCAGAAAATAATATACATAAAAAAATCAATGGAACTGTGATAATAAAATGCATTTTCTCATTTTAAACTTATCTATTATACTAATATGCATTTTTAAAATCAAGGAAAGCTGTTAACATAATGATTCAATTAAAAATATTTTTTCCCATATGATCATTTCTATTCATCACCATATATCTGTTTCATATCACAGTTTACAAGCATTGAATTTATGCTGATGGAGCTTCAAATTTTTAGTAATTTGATTTCGCCCATCCCAAAATTAAAAGGTTTTTTTAAAAAAATTTAGATAACTTATTACAATATTTTCTGAAAATAATCTAATTATATAAACATGAATGGTTTAACAGAAAATATGTTAGCTATTTTTTATACTAAATTAAAAAAAAAAAAAGACTGACTATATTTGTACATTAAATAAGGAGCTAAAAGTTAAATTTTCTATAATATTGCACTAAATTTAAAATACTAACTTTTTCATAATCATATTTTCAATGAAGCAAAAATTAGGAATTTCCTTCTTATAACAAAGTAAATTATACATATAAATTAAAATTTTATAAAATAAAAAAATGACTAAAATATTTAGTTTCATAAAGAAAAATAACCACAGTACTTCATAGGAAAAACATGTAAAGCTCTTATTTTGTTTGATTTAACTTTGTATTTACAAGAAAACTTCACTAAGAAGACAAATGTCTTCATTAAAAATAGGAATAAAAAAATTAAACAAATATGTGCCTATAATCAGTAAAATTTGTAAAAAGACTGTACAAAATGTAACATATTCTAAACTAATATCTTCCTGCAGTTTTCTTGATAAACATTCATTGAAGCATTAATTGGGTAATATTTTTTTGCACTATAGAATCCCTTACAGCATTAAAAACTACTTTGATATTCTCTGTATCAATAGCAGTAGTATAATGATGAAAAATTGCTTTATTTTGGTCCCTTCGAACTGATTCAAATAATTTCAGAATAAACCTCTGAACATTTTCCAAATTGAACGGATCACCTTCAAATTCTGGAAAATATAATGAAATATCAGACATTTTACTTTCAACTTTTCTTTTCAGAAGGTCAGTCTTATTTAAAAAAAGAATAAAAGACACTTCAGAAAATGCTCGATTATTAACTATTGTGTCAAATATATTTCTTGATTCTAAAAGCCGATTTGTAGTTCTGTCCTCTAGCAATACTTGATCAAATTCACTGGAAGACACCAAGAACAGGATGGAAGTTACAGAATCAAAACACTGGAACCACTTTTGCCTCTGTGACCTCTGACCCCCAACATCCACAAAGCAAAATGGCACTTCATTGATAAGAATTGTGAATTCTGTTATGCCTTTTGTTGCTTTACGTGCATGAAGAATATCTTGATGAGTAGGGGTATAATCCTGTAAAAAATTCAAAAAAGAATTCATGTACACATATTATAAAAGATATTCTCTTCTTTGAATATTCTTTCATTATTCCTAAGATAGTACTAACTGTTAAATTAATATTTTAAAAAAGAGGGGGGGAACTATCAGCTTTTAACGAAAGTTTCCTGCCACCGTAAATATCATCTGCACAAACAGTTCACATTGGCGTGTTTCATCACATTTTGTCATACGATTTTTGGCATTTGAAACAAAGAGACTTCTTTAGAACACTGTGTTGTAAAATTTGTAAAAAATTATCATTTTTATTATGTACAAAGTGTCTGAAATGGAACTATCCTGCTACTAGATTAGAACCATTATTTACTTCCAGTTCTGTTGCAAAAAGTCAGCTACAGAATGTCACTAAATCGTGTACAGTTTTAGGTATTAGTGTTGTATCATATGACGCTGTGAAGGTTTAGTACCGAAAGTTCAGAAACAAGGACTATGACATCCAAGGAGCAGAGTGCTCTGGCCTGCCTACTTATGTTGATGAGGTCCGCCTGCAAGAACTTGTGGAAGATCAATATGCAACCGCTAAAGAGTTAGACATTAGTGCCATGTCCTTTATGCATTGCATAAACTTGACGTACAAGTTAAATCGCTGGGTGTCAAATGAGCTGACTCAACAAGATAAGGCCAGGCATTTTTGAGCCTGCACTAATCTGCTTGAATATTAATGCAAGGACAAAATTCTGGACCGGATCGTCACTTGTGATGAAAAATGGATTTACCTCAACAACAAATGCCGTAAAAGGGGATGGTCTGCACGGAGTTATCCTGTCGGCAGCGTCGCAATTTCACTAACAAAAAGATCATGCTTTGTATCTAGTGTGATTACTGGGATATTATCCAACAAAAGTATCTAGAAAAAGGTGAATCCCTTGACAGCAAGGTGTATAGCAACATGCTAGTCCGTATTAACGCTGTCATCAAGGAAAATCATCAAACTGAGATCCGGCACTAAAAAGGTAATGTTCCATCAAGATAATGGAAGACCACATGTGTGTGAATTCACCGGCTGGACTCTGTACGGACTCGAATGGGATCTTTTGCTACACCCACCATATAGCCCTGATATCACTTCTGACTTCTACATTTTTTCACATTTGCAGCTACATCTTGCTGGTGCTAACTTCCATTCTGCACAGGACTTCCGAAATAAGGTTGATCTGTTTTTGGACTCACTGCCACCAAGTTTCTGGGATGAAGGCTTTGAAAATCTACCAAAACATTAACAGAAAATCATAGATTTGGATGGTGATTACTACCCGCTCTTAACTTTAACATTTTTTGGTGGAAAACTTTTGTTACAACCAGATATTGTTGGCACCATACCAAAACCATGAATCAGCATTTTCCATCCTGATTTGACATGAAAGCTAAGCTATTTCTTTTAGTCTATGCCCAAAGGAAAGAAATGCACATTTTAAGGAATGCATATAAAAGAATAATTGTGCAGAAATTTTAATTCAATTTTTTCACTCTTTTAAAGACAATTTTTTCTCGATAACAATTTTGACTTTTAACATGCTACCAATGATAAATCCTTCTAAGTTTTATTTGTTCTAAATTATAAGTTTTTTATTTAATTATTATTCCTTTCTTGCAATCAAAATTGGAGTGTCCAGCCAGCAACAAAAATTACAAATTACATGAAAAAATTTCTACATTACAAGTCTGTTTCACTTTTTATTCCTCAACCCGAATGAACAAAAAAATAAATAAATTAGTTAGTGAAGTCATCAGCAAATGTAAATATTATTATGATAACTATAAAAATTAAGAGCAATTAAAGTTTTAACTCTATTTACATTGAACGTTTAATGGAACCTTCCTTGGTTCGAGTAGATTGAAGGGTGCCCCTTGTATTTTTGCGAAGTGTTTTGCCAATTATCAATTATCATATCTTGAACTGCATTCCACTAGAAGACATGCTGACAGGCAAATTTGGCTCGTTCCCCCGAGTCATCCCTGGTATGAAGCTGATTGTTCTGGAAGATCCCTTGCTAAGGGTTTATAGTAACCCGAGTAGTTGAATGTTATGGAAACTCTATTATGATGTAATCAGTTGCATAATTGCGGTAAATTTTGAATGATGGGAAAGATTTGTAAGGGATTGTGGTGTGTGTTAGTTAGGAAATACATTGCTTGTTTTGTGGTTTAGACGGTAGAATGGCTGAATGTGGCAAGATTAATTTGAAGTTTCTGTAGGATTTGTAACAAAATGGGAAAAAGAGTATTAATATACTGGTGTTTAAATGAAGGTTTACTTAGTAGCCATTATATGGAAATGTGTAGGAAGGAAATGCATATGGTTGAATGTTGGAGGATACCAGCACTACAGAGAATATTTTAGACTCTTATTTTTGTGAATTTATGTGGTGACGCTGATAGACGAATTCTAGTTCAGATTAATTTAGGAAGTTTTTGGATGTTGTTAAGGAATTTTGGGTGCCACAGACTGAAGACATAGAAATTTCTAAATTAGGTAAGTGGATATTTGCTTTATGTAGTGCTTAGATGCATAAGATGATTTCCTTTATCATTTATTTATTGTTGATTTAAAATGGTCTGTGAGAATATTATTTTTTGTTTGGCTCGTCCACAACTGGGTGCTCCTTTGACTTTTAAGTGAAAGATCGATGGTACAGAACAAAGGAGGTTAAAGAATTGCACAAATGCGGTATCCATGTCCGCAAAAATTGCAAGGGCCCTGTAAATATATTTTACCCTTCTTTATTAGTTAATAAGAGTTTATTAATTCATAAATTAAAATTTTATTTTTACTACATATGTGTTATGAGTATTTAAAGAAACATATCAGCTTAACATTACAAATTGCAACATATTAATTACTTAGTTCAAATAAATTTGAATTTCTTCAGCTGCAGAATGCAAAGAGAGAGAGAAGGGGGCGCTGTGCTCTGGCATAGAATGAAGGAGGAAATCAATCAACTAGTGCGATAAATGATAAAAAAATGGAAACAACTATGAAATAATTTCCTTAGAAGGTGAAATGCTGTATCCATGTGCCGCCAAAAATTGCCAAGGGGCACCTGTAAATATATTTTTACCCCTTCTTTATATTAGTTACTCAAATATTTTTCATAATTTCATTATAATTTAAAATTTTATTTTGTACTACCTTATGTGTTTATTGGAGGTATTTTAAAGAAACAAGAATCAGCTTAACATTTACAAATTTGCAACACTAATTAATTAACTTAGTTCAAAATTAAATTTTGAACTTTCTTCAGCTGCAGAAATGCAAATGATGAAAGAGAAGGCTGTGCTCTGGCAATAGCAATGAGAGGAAGGAAATCAAGCTACTAGTGCTATATAATGATAAAAAAATGGAAACAACTATGAAATAATTTCCTTAGAAGGTGAGGGTAAAAATGGATTAAAATTGGAATCAATTAGAACCTGCACTAAAGGTAAAGTTTGATTTTTATGAATGCAAAATGCCTCTAGAAAATTTAATTCACCAACAAAAGATGTTTTTTAAAAAATTTGGCTGCAGAAAAGTAGAATATGTGAATTTCTGCTCAACAGAGGATTTATGTGCTTCTTTCTTCCCAATGTATGCATCATGTTAAATGTTTCCTAATATATGCGTCATATTACAAAATTTTAAGGCTTTCTTATTTTGACCCCTGTAAATTGGTAATCACATTAGCAAAGAATCCTATATATATCCCTGGAGTTCATATCCAGAATGGCATCTTGAAATATGGAACCACAAATTTTATTGTTAGAAGAGAAAACCCAAAAATTGAATGTCTGTAAACACTATGTAATTTTATAGCTAATCAATGAAAAGAAAGAAATAATAAATAAATAAAGTATAATAATTCTGATATAATCTCCTTAAACAATAGAGTGCTGTTAGATGTGTTGAGATTGATACATTTCTAAACACCTCTGGTAATCATCATTTAGCATGTTATTTTTAATTCGGATACATTATATGTATAAAACAATAGCAAATAAGCTCAGAAGAAAATATGATTTTTCCATAACTATTATTAAATGCTTATTTTATTGTGGACGATACAGTTTAATTTATCAGTATTAAATTAAACATTATCTTATGAGGCAGAGTTGTACAATGAATTGAACACAAACTACTGGTTGACTAAAGCATGCTTTCGAGTCAATCAAGATCCATTTATCTCTTATTAATATTTTATAATTTGATCTATGTACTGGTAGACCAGGACATAATCCACTTGTAAAACTCATACCTAACAAAGTTAAGTAAAATTGTTTGAGGAATGTAATTTTTAAAAAAAATTTACTGATGGAATAAAGCTGCTCAGGACAATATAGTGTAGCATTTTTATAAGTGTGATGACATATAAATAAAAAAATCATTTACAAAAATTTTCACCAATATTAGTTACATTTAATAATTAAAATTATTAAACATTTCATTGAGCAAGATATAATATATGTGATGTATTGAAATAAAAAATACACCTTATTAACATATTAAGCACAATGTCAATCACATGTGGCTGAAATTACATTTTCTACTTGGACCATGTTACTCAATGGGGACTGACAGTACCGTTTCCATTTGGACCATGTCTCATTCAAGCCATGTTAGTCACTGTCGACTGAAAATATATAATTTAAAAAATTACATTCTTTTACCAAATTCTACACAGATCTCCAACTGCTTGTGTATCTGTGAAATAGGAAATAATGTTCTAAATGGAAAGGTTAAGGTGTTAATAAACATTTTTGGTAACTCTTAATAATTATTTGCACAACCCCCTCCCCAAAAAAAAGTTTGGGCTTTATTCCCAAAGTTGCAGAATCCTAGCATAAGTTAGATATATATAATAGGTATTAAAATTATCAAATGGGGGGTGGGGATAAAGAAAAAGTTTTAATTTCAAACAATTACAAAATTTAAATCATTTTAAGCAGTTTTGTTAAGATTTGCTCTTACGTTAACATTTTTTAAATTAATGCATAATTAAGGTACGTAAGTCTTTATTCTACTTTGTTCTAAAATTGATTCTTTTATATTTAAAAGATGCAACTTCATACTTACATTTAATGAAATCCTGTCAATACTGTCAAAGAAATACTGTACACTGTCGCTCTGGAAAAAAATAAAATTATAATTTTTTTTTTATTTAGTAGTATAAATTAACCCATTTTAATAATATATATATTAAAACTAGTAATTAAACATTGTTATACCACTATCTTTTTATGATTCAACCTTTCTTTTCATCGAAATTTATTTCTGTTCTTTTCACATTTTAGGCTGGAATTATTAAACCCATTATATTATTCAAAATTAAAACTTAGAAGAAAAATCTAATTTTTTAGTGACATGCAAATAATGCCTTTGCATGGACATATGAAATGTATGCCATCTACAGGTATCTTTTATTAAAATAATGCCGCAAATGTTTATAAAAATACTGTACACTGTCGCTCTAGTTAGTCATTAATTACATATTTTAAATTATATAAATTAGATGTATAGTGTATTACATTAATTATAAATTTAATTTCAAAATAATCAGTTTCTCAAAGCATGTATAGCTATAATTTGAAGGGTAAATTTAAATTATGACAACAATTTATCAGAGATGTTGCCATTTGGCTGCCTTTGTTCCAGGCTGCATGGATGATAAATTGGAGATTTTATACCTCATAAAGTGACAGCACATGAAAATCAATGAAGTTTCCTGGGTATGCAGTATTGACTATAAACATCCTGGTAATATAGCACAAGACAATGACTACAGGTTATAAAAAGAAAATCTTCAATATTTTTATGTATGTAATATACAGTCAAAAGTCGTTAATTCAGACACCCATAATCCGGAATGATCTATAATTCGGACCTCAAAAGCTAAAATCTTTCTGCGCATGCGCCGCGTTGACGCATGCGCATAGGCGTTTTACGCGTGTGCGCAAGACATTTATGACTGCGCATATGCGTTTGCGCAAGCGCAGAATATGTTTCCGCGTGCGCGCGTTTAATGTATAACGGACGGTATAAGCTCTAATTATCTATTTCAGTTAATGTTGATGATTGCGTTGTTCCTTAATCTACGAATTGGATCCAGCTTATTATTTTTGCAGACTGTAAGAGCAATTTTATAAAAGTAAGCTTGAACTTTCGATTATGTCAAATAGAATTTCCGATGCTGGAGCTCCCAAAGGATCTAGAAAACGAAAGTATGTTTCGATGTCCATCAAACAAAAAATGGATAAAGCATATCCTTTGTTTATCTAACCGTTCTGAAATCTGTTTATCAATTTCACACTGCTCTGCGCGGGGGGGGGGGACGTCGCGGCACGCAATGAACTGGAAGTTGATCTGTCAGCACTATCGTTATCTTCAGGGCAGATGTTTTTATTTTATTCGGCTTATAATTCCTTACTAAATGTAGTATTTGATCTCGATGTATTCCGTCTTTGATATGATTTAAATCAAATTCCTCGTCATTATAAATATCACGAATACAAATCAAATAGTTTTCTAGTTGCAATTTTCCAATTTCGGCTATGCGTAAGGTATGCTTTACGCATGCACGCGTTGAAAGAAATGTTTAATAAAGTAAACAAATAAATATTAAGCTTCTTTTTTTGTTAATTTTGATACCCCTTAGATCATAATTGCTCATTATTTTATAAATTACGGTTTCATATTTTTAATTTTATAATTTCTGCATGCCATCTTACCAGATTTAAACTGATGATCTATAATCCGGAATCGCCGAAGTCCCGACGAGTCCGGATTAAAGACTTTTGACTGTATATGTATGAATCTAGAAATCAGGTTTGGATATTCGAAATTTCAGTTAGTAACTTTAAGTGTATGGAGCATATTTATAATTAATAAAAAAAGTTAAATTTTGCCCATACTGAAAATATTACTTCTATTGAATCCCAAGTATTAATAGAACAGGAAGGGCTCTTGAATATATATATTCACACCAGTTATTAATCTTTGATCTTGAATACCTGTTAGTAATCACATGATTCTGCCAACTCCAACCTGATTTTCACACTGATCCTGAACATTAAAGAGAGATATTTTCCCTGCCTCTTACTGCCAAGATTTCAAGAGTGCTTTTAAATTGATGAATTTTAAATGCCCCTACTCTTGCAAAAAGTATTGCCCTGTTGATTGCCACACTGCTTGACAGTCTTATTTACAGAAAAGATATAAGCAAAAAACAGGCAAGAATTTTATTGAGAATAAATACTGAAATGATAAAAGATAAAGACCACAAAAAGATGGATTTTTTTTTTTTTTTTTTTTTGATGTATTCTAATTTTAACAAATTTTCAGTTAAAATAATAAGAATGCATTTTTAAATCCAAATTGGAAGATGATCATTGCTATCCTGTGTAAAGTTATTATCAAAATGGCTATATTATTTTTTAAAGCATGCTTTTTCAAAATTTTCATGTTAATAATTTGATTCTTACGGAAAATCTTGTCGACCACAAGAGATGGCGCCAAACAATAGAAAAAAAAAAACTAAATACAATAAAAAGCATTCTATTTTTATTTTTCTTTCAAATTTATTATATTATCATTTATTTTCATTTAATTTTTCATTAAAAATGAAAAATAACTAACACGAACTCTCAGAATAATAACTAATACATGTAATCAAGTCAGAAAATGTTAGACTCTTTTCTCTTTGTTTTCATACCTATACACCCTCCGTTTAAATTTTCTATATGCTCTGGTACTGTTTATAGCATTCTCTTTAGTCTCATTACAGATGCTTTAAACATTTTTCATTTGATGTCTCTGGGAAAACAATGGTCTTTATTTCTATCATCAAATGAAGTAGTACATTATATTCAGAGATTAAATTCAACCGGAGACCGGAAGAGCTATTTCTTAGTTTTGTGTGAAATTGTAATCCCAGTCGGAACCCCAAATAATTCAAGGTCCAATAATTTATTTTATTATTTAACTATTTATCGTTTATTTGATAACTGATTAAATTTTTATTGGTCTCTGTACATTTTGTTAAATTTTAATTATATTATTATTCTAATCAATAATTACCAATCACTTTATCATTTTATTTATTTATTTATTTATTCTTGTTCCTCTTTCCTTACAATCTTCCATAGGACTCCGGCACTTCTAATTTTAGAAATTAAGCCCTGTTTAAATCTGTTTCCAAAACAATCAAAATTTCTAATTCAGTTTTGTATGATTTTTATTCATTTAAGCACCTTTTCATTTTATAAATATATATAAAGTAAATCCTATTAATTTAGTTAATTTGTTTTATTTGATTATGGCAACGTAATCATGGGCTATCTGTCTAAGGAGAGAGATGCCTTTGTGGAGGACCTTCTAAGGGAAACTGGCTCTTATACAAGTTACACATGCGAAAGACCATGAAAGTGGCTTGTTTGCAAGATTCTAAGCTCAGACCAAAACTGGCAGTGTTCAGCGGCCTTTACCATTCAGCCGTTGGTGAGTCGTAAATCCTATTGAAAGCACACTGATTCACAAAAAATATCGGTATTGTTCTGTTTTGAGGATCATAAAAAAATGCAGCAAAAATGTATGAGCAAATGCGCCAAATCTAGCAAACGCGCCTTTAACAGCGTGCCAAATCTAGCGTACGCGCCGATTTCAGATTGCATTAGTTTACATAGTTCTATATTCATTAAGACGCCATTGAAATACTAGTTTAATTTTAAAATTCTTTTTTGATATCCTATAGATTTAACAATTTGGGAATTGCCCATGATGAAAAGTGTGCAATAGAATTTTGGTTAAAGTGCAGAATCATCGTCAAGCAGTGTGCAATCACTGCTTGATGCGTTTTTAAGAATTGCACATACTCGGTATCCATGTACATATCGACCTATTTTCACTTCAAAAAATAAATAAATAAATCCCAGAGCTGCACAAAAATGGCACTGTGCACACCCTTGACTTTGTCTATGTATACATCGATGTATTTTCACTTAAAAAGTAAAAGAAAATTGACAAAAATCCAATTGTTTTTACCCTTGTAAAAAGCGGCAACAAATACGTGGGCGATTCTGCACTTTACCGAGAATTTTTCAAAAAGGGATCATTCATTATAGAAAATTACGTTTGAACAACCAACGAGATGAAACTATGCTCTAGCGATAGCTCGGTAGTGAAATAGGTGATGCAGGCATTCATTCAGTTATGTTTAGCAATTTTTATATAAATTATAATATTGATCTGAAATAGTTATTTACTCTTATGCTTCCATTCAGTCATGTTTAGCCTTTTTTATATAAATTATAATAATGATCTGAAATAGTTATTTACTCTTATGCTTCCATTCAGTCATATTTAGCTTTTTTTTATATAAATTATAATAATAAAAATGAATTAATATATTAAATTAACCTTTCATCTAAATTAAAACATCAATCTTGATGGTTATTTACTATTATATTTCCTTTCTTGTGTTAGGGTTGCCACAATTATTTTTGGCAGCACTGGCATCAACAATAGTTTGGCAATTTTTTACGGCCTTCAAAACCAAATAGTACCAAAATATCATTATAGTCAAAAGTCGTTAATTTGGACACCCATAATCCGGATCTAAAGCTACAAACATTCTGCGCATGTGTCGCATTTATGCGACGCATGTTGGCAGTGGTGATAAAGGCAAAGCATGTTTTGCTTCCCTTAAATAAAGCTAAGACTAAACTAAATAAAATTCTTGCTTTATTCCGTAAATAAAATAAGAGAGCTAACACTGTAGCCTTTTATTATTAAAATCATTTAGTGAAAGCAAACTAGCATAAAGCTAACTGATAATCACACAAGAGAACAAGAAACAAGAAACATTCGCCGATAACGGCGTACATATATATATACTCGGCCAACCCGCCGATCTTGACGTCATCGGCCAATCAGCGGCAACCACGTTAGCTTACCGCCGATCGACCTCCGATCAAAATTTGCATGTGAAAACTAAAGCCAACAAACGGCTCTCTTTTCCCATGCAAAGACAAAAACAAAACTTCACAGAAGTTCATAGTTCAATTCTATTATACGAAAACACTTATTGTCTTTAAACATTGAAAACATCTAAGCAAAACTTTCTTAAATTA